GCTTCAAATTAGCCTAGTAAATCAAACACACACACCAGAATGAAGGCCTAGTTACTAAGCAGCCCCATTTCTGTTTCTGGACATAAGCTGGAGAAGTTGAAACTTACACTAACTCAAAAGTGATATGAAAAATTCAACCAACATTGAAAGTTAGCCCATTCCTATTTGTTGTAAAAAGAGAATAAAGAGATTTCCCTCAGCCACGGCATGGTGGCTCCTGCCTGTAATCTCAGCACTTTGGGAGGCTGAGGCTGGAGGATCGCCTGAGGCCAGGAGTTCAAGACCAGCCTGAGCAAGAGCAAGACCCCGTCTCTACAAAAAATGGAAAAATTAGCTAGGCATGGTGATGTGTACCTGTAGTCCCAGCTACTTGGGAGGCTGAGACAGGAGGATCATTTGAGCCCAGGAGTTGGATGCTGCAGTGAAATATGATTTTGCCACTGCTGGGCAACAGAGCAAGACCCTGTCTCAAAAAAAAAAAAAAAAAAAAAAGGATACTTCCCTCACAAGAACCTCATGATGATTGGGATAACGTACGGACAGTACCTGGCAGGTAAGCAGATGCCCAGTAAATATCAATTTTCTACCGTCCGCATCCCTTTTAGTCATTTCTGTCCAGTGAGATGTCTAAATTGGTTCCACAGCTACTTAGAACACAGATAAATGCTCCCTACTTTATAACTCGTCCATCAGTTTTCAAACTGTAGTGTGCACAGGAATCCCTTGCAGAGATTATTAAAATGCAGTCCTGGGTCCCACCCTGCAGAGATTCAGCAAGTTGGGGTAAAACCTAGAAATCTGCATTTTAAATCTTTATTAGGATTACTTAAAATGTATTTGTATTTCACTGTTGTGTTGGCATCAAAATGCTTATCTGGGGATGTCACATTTACACATCAGAATCAAAAAATTTTTTTTAATTGGCACAGCACCTCTGAACTGCTTTGTAACTAAAAATTTTAAGATCACCCTGTTTTAAAATTTCCTTTATTTCTTTAGATCTTTATGAAACATTTCATCTTCTGCAGATCATAGTGCTTTATTAACAAATTCATGTGTTCTTTTCCCATTCTTTAATACAAAAAAATTATTCATCAGTTATTTTCATCTGACATTTCACTAAGTACAGAATTCATAAGGTCAACATTATTAGAGCAGTCATTCAAGTGGGTCACACAAGTTTATCTTCATTGTGCCAAATACCCACTCAAAGGATAAGATGAATAACAGATGCCTCCAGGTGTATTCAACAACCTTAGTTTCTTGACATGAACTAGTCCTGTTTAACAGGTCAAACTGCTAGTCTACGTAAATAAGCTGGAAAAGACTCAAGTATACAGCTGTACATATCATCAAATGGCAAGGTCATTTCCGTAAGAACTTCTATGACTGTACATTAGTACAGTTTTCTGCTATCTTTGCAAAAGCCCCTCTGAACAAAGTTATAGTTCAGAATTTAAAAAATCTTAATGAGATAAAATGTACCAGGTCGCTTTTCTGTAGCAGAAATTAATTACAACCATTTTTCCTCAAGCAATTTTAAAGACAAGCAAAGTTGAAAATAAATATGCAATCATACAGTAAACTGAAATCTGAACTTAGAAATTCAGATACAAAGCACACTGGCAGGGTCTATGACTGTAGAAGATAAATTAGAAAGATAAACTAGCAATGAAGCAATAATTCCTTCCAAATAGCAGGAAACAAGTTCTCCAATACCATTATTTAGTGTTCACCTATTAATTTTTAAAATCCCCTCTAATTATGACATTTGAGCAAATATACCAACAAATACCTTAAATCATACTGCATGAAATAAATGACCATTTAATTCCTAATGAATTGTATGAACTCCTTAATGACTTTTTAGGTCTATATATAATAGAAAGATTCAGTAACCTTTGTACAGTTGCTTAAAATCTGCTGGTATTTATGAAAGCTTTTAAAATTAAATTCTTATTCATTTGTTAATCCACATTATTAATGTAATACTCTTAGTGTTCTACAACCATTTAAGCCTCAGGTGTTAGGGCGATCTGTTTCAAGTTCTGCAGCATGCTATTTTGACTTATTTACTGCAGGGAATCACCCTCTGTTCTGTCCTTCCCCACAAAAAAAAGTTGACAGAATAGAGACAAATTTCCAGATTTAAGCATAAAGAAAGTTAAGATTTTTCAGGCTTGGATTATAACCCTTAGTTAAGACAAGTATATATGCCAATTGTTAAATTTTTATGAAATTGAACATAAAACAAAAAAATTTCAGCTAAATCATATTCTTTGAGAATGAATGAGGCATGATGAGACACGTTAATAAGATGTGACATGCTTCTCATCCATAATCAAAAACTTCAATTCCCTGCCTGAAATTGGCTTGAAAAATGGTACAAAGTCTATAGCTGCTTTAAAGAATTTTAAGAAGCCTATATAAACCATTGGATGACTTATATATTAATAGATTTTATATTGAAAACTAATCTATGGAGCCCATTTCATTCAATTTAAAAGTTAGTCCTAACATATTTGTGGTTGCTTTTACTGTGTTTTTAAAAAGGGGTACTACTATAATTTAAGACATCCTAGAGATAGTATAGATGTGAAGGATTCTTTTTATGTCTTCGATGCCTTAGGTAATTCTTAAGAGCTTAAAATTATTATTTGTTCCTCCTTAATATGAAACTCCTGCAACATAGCTTTTGACCAGTAAATAAATGTTCCTTAGGCACTGTGAGGTGTATTAATGATGGAACATGAACCCAGGTTGAAGTGTATAATTTGATTTTAACTACTAACAAGACAGTTAACAAGCACTATCTTACCCACTGACAGCAAGAAATAACTTTATCCCACTACTCCTGAGATTCTAAAGAGGGAAAACTAATTTCACAATCTTTAAAAGAATCCATAGATAATTCTAAGAACTGCACAATACTTAGGGTATTAGAAAAGATGTTTTCTTTTGTAAGGCATCAATAATTAAATTAATAAAATGCATATCTAACAAAAGATGGTTAACACTCAGTATCATAAAACCATTTATCTTTTCTTTTAAACTTCCCTAATTCCTGCTACTTTTGCCAACTTAAATAAGAAAAGAATGCCTCTTGACCTAATCAACTATGGTTATAAAAAAACTAAGACATCTGAAACTATTAGGCACATCAAAGGTACAGTTTATGTAGTTCAAGGTTCCCTTCTTAAGGGGCAGATGAGTTACCTGGAACATTATACATGTGGAACTGTAATAAAGATCATCTACTAAATTCAACTTTCACATTTTTAGTCAGACTGAAAGACTTATAGTAAATATTCAAACATACCGTATCTTCAGTTACAACTGAATAAGTATAACATTTTACCAGATAAAAAGCTGAAACTTAAGTATGAGAAACCTTCACATACTGTGCGTGTATTGGTCTCTTCTTTTTAGATGAAAGCCAGTCATCAACACTTTCAACACAGCAGTTTAGAAGATAAATGTCCAAAACAGGTGACTTGGTTATAGTCCATAATTTAGCAATTCAATGCCACTGGCATCATAATGCTGTGGAGAGCAAGTGTATCTCCATATTTTAGTCAGATTTGTCTTTCTTCTTTCCTGTTAAGGGCACTTTGTTTACAACAGCAGACCCAACAGCTGTAACTCCTCCAGCCACAGCAGACACACCCCCTTTCACCAACCCTATTCCCATGGAAGGCACAGTTGTAACAGCTGTTTTGGTCACCTCCAGACTTTTTCCACCAATCCAAGCCACACCACCAATGGTGGCACCAACAGCTCCCTTTGTAACACTGAAGATACCCCCAGTCACACGGGACAACATGCCTGGCTGCTGCTGTGGGTGATCTTTCACTGAACCTAATGAAAGAAAATATCATGAGACAGTCAAATACAAGTCTTTAAAAGAGCAGTACAAATCATTAAGTAAACTAAAACTCCCTGACAATCAGGAGGTTGATTTGATAAGGCCAACCACACTGAAAGACAATGAAGAGCTCTTCCCTCAAGAGTACAGTTGTACCCATGTTTTTGTAATATTTTGGTCTAATGCTAATTCTTAGTATCTACGAGAAGCAATGCTTTAGACTAGACAATTACCACAATATAGAATCCTGTTTTAAATGTTTCCTTTATTTACAGTTTTGCCATTAATAAATTTTATTTTGTATCCTAAAAGGAACATGAAAAAATAAAAAGATACACATTTGGCCTTTATCTCCTTGATTGGATTCAATTAATTATTACTGAAATAATCTTCTTCGTAGAAAGTAGTGGTTCTCAAGGTATAGTCTGGTAAGCCTGATGGTCCCTGAGACCTTTTGGGGAGGTCCACAAGGTAAAAACTATTTTCATAATAATATTAAGATGTCATTTGTCTTTCAATTTCATTCTGTCTTGAGTCTATAGCAATTTTCCAAAAGCTAGATGATGTGCAACAATGTAACAGACTGAATGCAGAAGCAGCTGCAAGAATCTAGGGGACTTTCACTAATCCAAACATTAAAGAGCTTTGCAAAAATGTATAAACAGTATCACTCTGCTCACAATTTTTCATTTTCAAAAAGTTACTTTTCATAAAAACTTGTTAATCATTTAACATGTAATGGGTCTATTAATGAATACACCCACTGGGTTCTTTTAATGAATAAAATATTTAAATATTCAAGTTCTTACTGGTAATACGGTAAGTACTAACAAAGACACAAGCTCTTTGGGGTCTCAATTTTTGAGAATGTGAAAGCATCCTGAAACCAAAAAGCTTTCAAACCTGTTAAATACATTTGGGTTTCTCCTCTATGTGTCCCTTAACAATGTATTTAAAGAGGTAATACTATATAAAAACAGAAAAATATTCATCATTTAAAATTGTAGTAACTACCTAAAATCATTTTTATTCAGATATAAGTAGGGTAGACAAACTACAGCTATGGTTAATACTTAAATCACTGCCTCAGTAATTCTTATGGAAGAGAGTGTGTGCTTTAAGCATCTAGGTAACCTAAGGATTTAGGCAGCAACAACACTTAAGCAATTGAGTTTTTCCTTTTTTAAACTTCAGAGAAAAGTATTTCATAAATTCAGGCTTTAGCCACTGGAAAAGTACAATCTCACACACAAAAAAGATAATTCTTGGGTATACAGGTCCAACTAAGACCACCAAAGGTACTAGGTCCTAGCAGAATGAGGTTATTAGAGAAGGTAACATGGGGAAACTGACAATATTTGATGGAGAAAAAAAAAAATTCTGAAAATCGAGTCTCTGTAATACACAAGGCACGATTATACCTTGAAATAGGTAAATTTTGGAGGTTTTACATTCTATCACAAGTGGTAAAATCTCACTGATTAGTCAAAATAGTGCATAGATACAGCAATGGCTAAATTTCAAAAATCAAATATTTTTATTAAAACTAAGTAATAAGCATAGTTAATATAAATTTTTAAAGGGCTAAAAGACTTAACAGTATAGATGAGCATTTGAATATTATTTAATTATAAAATTGCAATGGATATGATGGTATTTGGAAGTAATTAAAAAAAATTATGATGGAAATGATTACATAATTGGTAATTCTTTTGTAATTGAGGTCAACAGCAGAAGGAAAAGAGGCAAAATCTTGATGTGAGGATAAAACAGCTAACTGTCCCTTGCAGAATATCTCATTAGTAAAATTATCTTGGTATGCCAAATTTGGTACATGTGCATTTAATGAAGACAAATAATTTTTCCTTATCAAATCAAATACATATTAATGCAGGTGATCTCTTTAATTACAGTGTATTCTTAATTACCACCATATAAATTATCTGCTTTGCAGATTATTCTTGTTTAGCAGTTGGTATAGAAAGACATTCCTTAGGCTCTATTCTCTTCTTTGGTAATCATGCTCTTGAATGGCCTTTGTTTATCCCTTTCCTAATTTCTTTCTCACAAAGTCCTTGTTAACTTTTTCATTGAGCCCTCACTTTTCTTTTCAAAACTCCATGGCTCTAGTCCTAAAAAGTAACATAAGGAAAACAGCTGAGCTAATAATTTTCCAGGCTATTCCTCCACCAAACTAAACTAAACTAATCAGCTAGTTCTTCCACCTTCTTTTAGGCTTAAGGATAAGCTTTTCAATGTTATTTTCCTAGCAATTTCATTTCTGCCTACCAATATTAGAAGAAACTTTCAGAGAGTGGGTAACATAACTGGGGAGAAAATACAGTAACTAGAGTCACAACCTCCAGGACTAGCTATCAACATGGAATTCTCCAAGAAGAACACTATTTGGATTAATTTTAATAACAGTCAATACCAAAACCATAAATTTAAAATGCCTGTAGTCATTTTCTGCATGTTGTCAGGACATTCAGGTGTGTAGTTTTTGAAGTAAAGGTAAGAATAAAATGATTCATGATGTCACAATTTTTGAACTAAAAGACAATTATGATTTAGAAAGACAAATTAAGCAGACCCCAAGACCATGTATTAATGTAGGAAGAAAGAGCTACCAATTATAATGTAATGGATAATAGGAGTTTAACAACAAATCTCAAATGCCTCTTGAATTAGGCTGATTTTTCGGTATGCAGGACATTAAAACTAAACATAGTCAGGCAATCCCAGCACTTTGGGAGGATTAGGTAGGAGGGTTGCTTGAGGCCAGGAGGTTAAGACCAGCCTGGGCAACATCTGGAGACTCCATCTCTACAAAAATTTAAAAATCAGCCAGGCATGGTAGCTAGTGCACACCTGTATTCCCAGCTACTTGGGAGGCTGAGGCAGGAGGATCACTTGAGCCCGGGAGTTTGAAGTTACAGTGAGCTATGATCACGCCACTGGGTGAGCCTGGGTGACAGAGCAAGACCCTGTCTCTTAAAAACAAAAAAACAACTAAATATAGTCCATCCTTCCTCCATATCTACCCTTACCCTTTACAAATGAAATGATACCTTTATTTGGAAAATGGTCTTAAAAGAAAAAAAGAACACCAGGAAAACAGACCTTATATAATAAAATGGTGTCCCCATTCACCAATATTTATGCTTGCTTGCTTTTCTTTTTTTGAGACTGAGACTTGCTCAGTCACCGGGGCTAGAGTGTAGTGGTATAATCATAACTCACTGCAATCTCAAACTCCTGGGCTCAAGGGGATCCTCCTGCCTCAGCCTCCCAAGTAGCTGGGACTATAAGCGCATGCCACTATGCCCAGCTAATTTTTCTGTTTTTTGCAGAGATGGGGTCTCACTCTTGCTCAGGCTGTTCTCGAACTCCTTACCTCAAGCAATCCTCCCACCTCGGCCTCTCTGCTTTCTTTTTTTTTTTGAGACAGAGTCTCCCTTTGTTGCCCCGGCTAGAGTGAGTGCCATGGCGTTAGCCTAGCTCACAGCAACCTCAGACTCCTGGGCTCAAGCAATCCTATTGCCTCAGCCTCCCAAGTAGCTGGGACTACAGGCATGCGCCACCATGCCCGGCTAATTTTTTCTATATATTTTTAGCTGTCCAATTAATTTCTTTCTATTTTTGGTAGAGACAGGGTCTCGCTCTTGCTCAGGCTGGTTTCGAACGCCTGAGCTCAAACGATCCGCCTGCCTCGGCCTCCCAGAGTGCTAGGATTACAGGCATGAGCCACCGCGCCCGGCCTTCTGCTTTCTTAATTGACGCTAAAAATGTTTATCTTCAATTATTTTTGGAATATATTTACTGACAAGGTAAATAGGTTGTTTCTTTAAATTTAATAAAAACAATCAGAGCTTTAATTTATCAGAATACTTTTTCCATTCTTAGTGTTACAGATGTGTACTTACCTTCTGGTGGTTCATCACTAAGGTATGATGGGATTTCTTGTTGATTTTTATCTGCTTGATTCATGATCTCCTAAAAAAATCATACAGACACATTTGATTTTAACCTCAACATGTGAGACCACCTCTTATCACATGCTAAATTAAGACTTAATCAACTTGATTCAGATAAACATGTTAAAACACATATCACAAGACTACTTCATCTTGTCTCTCTCCTACTTCAAATTGTAGCATTTAAGAAATACTTTAAATTACACCAGTATAGTGTAAATCTTATCTAAAACATTAAAGAGTGGCAGTCATAATATACAAGCTTTCCTACGTTGTTACTGTGGTGCATCAACTTAACCTGAAAATTACTAATTGAAAGAGACCTAGAAGGTAGAAATTAGTAGACAAAAGTCTTAAATGTTTCCTCTGACAGAATACTGGTTAATTTAATTGTAATTTATTTCACGGCAGGCTTAAAACTTACACCATAACTAAAAAGGTGTTCCATCTGAAAAAGTTCTTTAAAAAAAAAAATGACATCCCTGTATTATAAAGGTGACATTACCAATCTGAATCAGTAAAAAATAGATTTTGATGACTTTTTATTATTCTTACAGCTCTTATGAATAGCAGTAGTAACAGAATTCAACATCTACTATGAAAAATATATATATACTATGATTACCTCTAAGTGAAAGTAAATAAGAAATAAATGAATACATGAAATAAGCTCTGCTGGGGTAAAGAAAACATGATTAGGCTAGGTGAAGTGGCTCACACCCATAACACCAGCACTTTGGGAGGTCAAAGTAGGAGGATCGCTTGAGGCCAGGGGCTCAAGACCAGCCTGGTCATCATAGCAAGACCCCATCTCTAAAAAAAAAAAAAAAAAATTAGCTGGGTGTGGTATTGCATGCATGTAGTCCTAGCTACTCAGGAGACTGAGATGGGAGGATTGCTTGAGCCCAGGAGTTTGAGGCTGCAATGAGCTATGGATCAAACCACCGTACTCTAGCCTGGGCAACAGAGCAAGACCCTGTCTCTAAAAGAAAGAAAGAAAGAAACCATGATTAAACTTTCTCTTCCCAATTTCCTTTACTGTTATATCTTAAAATATTTCCTTTTAAAATTCACTTGACTAAGTAAAGAATAGGACAGGTAAAGACTGGTCTAAAAGTGTTCTTTATGATATACTGTCATGCTTGGTGAGAAAATTAGGGTTGTGATCCCCGCAGTCAACTGAGTATTTCCTGGTCATATATCCTGGGAGCTATATTATCATATATCTACATATACAAGAGATAGTTAAAAGGATATTGTGAAAACAATGTACTTCAATACATTAATTAATTAACAAATATTGATTGAGCACCTTCTCTGGAGCAGGCAATGTTTTAGGAGCATGGGATATAGCAGTGATCAGAGTGATCAGCATAGACCAAAAAAATCCCTGCCGTCATGAAATGGACACTTTAGTGGGCGAAGACAATAAATAAATATACAAAGACTATACTATATGTCAGACGGTATTAAATGCTATGAAAAAAAAGAGACGGAGGGGAAGAGAATGTGATATTTTAAATAGGACAGTAGTCTGTGAAGGCTTCCTTTCCTTCGTGACATCTAAAAGGAGGTAAGGATACAAAACATTTAGGTGAAGAGTACTCAAGGCAGAAGAAACAGCAAGAGAAAAGGCCCTGAAGCAGAAGCTTAGCTGGAAGACTAAGAAGGAACAGCCAGTAAAGATTGGCAAGGGCCACATCAAAGGGCAGTAGAAGAGGAAGTCAAACAGTGAGGTCTGGATCACATAGGCCCTTGCAGGCAATGATGGTGACTGGCTTTTAATTCTGAGTGAGATGGGAAGACTGTGAAGAACTGAACAAAGGAGTGAGGTGTTCTGTTTCACATTTTTAAAAGATTCTGGCTGCTGTGGGGAAAACAAGCAATAGGAGAACAAGACCAGAGGCAGAAAGACCTGTTAAGAGACCACTTCAATAATCCAGGCCAAAAAAAAACGTTGGGAGCTTGGAGGAGGGTGGTAGAGGCAGAGGTTGTGTGAAGTTGGGATTTTCAAAGGTAATTTTAACTTCGTGCAATTCATCCTGCTATGCCTTTAAAACCTAAATCCTGTGTAAGACGAGACTTCACTGCACCCCACAGAGTCCAGCAGCACATGTCATGTGTTTCATAAATATCTTTCAATTGCTCTGCTGAACATCCTGATTCAGGCCACTTACCAACAGCATCTAATCTTATCCTGGTTTGGTTTGTGCACACCATCCCATACATACTTAAGATTCAAAAAGTATAGTAAAGCTATGTAATCTCTTACAGAAAGACCAAAAGAATATCAGCTGGTGTATTACTGGGAAAAGAGGTTCTTGACTGATTTGCCTTAATTTTAAAACTCCCCAAACTGGAAGGTTACATTTATGTCCATTCATATTTATATTTTCTTTGATATATCATCACTGTATGATCATAACAAATCATACAGTATAGTAGTTAAGGCTCTGGGATCAGACAGCCTGAATTTGAATCCCAACTTGACCACAAACTGTAAGGCAGAAAACAAGTAACTTCATTAGATCCTTGCTGTTTAGGAGATTTAAAATAGAAATTAAAGATATTCTAGCCCTAACCCTAAAATGAGAATACTATTTAACAAATTCCAAAACAAAACATGCAGAAATTCCTGGCAGAATATGTGTGATCCTTCTAAGGAATATGACTACTTTGAAGCCACTTTCTTCCCCATTGAACTGTTAATTTCAAGAGGACAGACACCTTTGTCCAGTAATCCTAGTATCTATATACCATACACACAAATCCAAGACATCTGATAGTCAACTGACTACCAGCAGGAGCCACCATACCCTATACAGAACTATGGGGAAATTATATATACTCATACATCTTATATATTTTAGCTGGAGATTAAAAATAGGTGTGACTATGATAGTAACTGCATACATTTCAAAACTGACTTTCTGGTCCCTACCTAACAAATCCCTACTAACAGTCTTACCTTTTCCTCCTAATACAGAATCCCTTTTTAAAAATTCTTTTTCTACATTCTGTCTTGTAACTAGAAAAAGAAGACCATTTAAAAATTTAGCACTGCGTTATACTGTGATAGCATGAAGATACATGCAACTTAATCTACATAATATGAACTGACTTCATCCTTCTGTGGGCAGGCAATGAGGAGCCATGAGCAGAGTAATACTGTCAGATCTGTGCTTTAAAAAGCTAACTGAAGCAAGAACGGATGAAGGACAGAAAGATTCAATACAGTAAATGGCTACTTTAGTAGTCCAGTGAGACAAAATAACAACTTAAAATCTGACAGCTTTTCCTATCTAAATAAATGCTTGGGCCAAAAACCTAGGGTCACCCATGACTTCCTCTTTTTTTACATTCCCATCTAATCATCAGAAAATTGTTGCCTAAATAAATCCATACTATTACCACTTTTCATCACCTCTACTATCACCACTTTAGTCTAAACCATCATAATCTCTTATTCGTACTACTGCAAAATCTCTAAACTGCCTCTGAGCCTTCCACCTTTGCTCTTCCGTCAGTCCAGCCATGGTATACTCTGCTTAAAACCCTTCAACTCCTTCCTATTTTGTTCAGACTAAAATCCAGAGTCCTAACACCTTGGTCTTTGAAGCCATACATCTAACCTCCACTTCCACTCTGATGCTGTCTCCTACCATTCTTGCTCATTCCACTGTAGTAACAGTTCCTTGTTTATCTTTTTTCTGAAAGGCTCTTACCCAAGATATACATGGCTTGCTTCCTTACTTCAGGTACTTGTACAAATATCCTCTTATTGAAAAACATTCCTGACCACCTCATAACAGATGAGCACCCTCTACTCCTCTCCCTACCATTTTCATCTAATCCTTCTCTATTTCCTTCATAACTCTTATTGCCACTTGATCTATACATCTGTTTATTTTGTGTCCCAAGTAGAATGTAAGCTCCATGAGAACAAGGGCTTGGTTTTGTTCACTACTGTATCCCCAGAGCCTTAATCAATGTCAAATGCATGGTGGATACTCAAATACTTGAATTTTTTGTATGAAGTAGAATATAACTTGAGTACTAATGTGAGATAAAAGGAAGAATCTAGGATGTAAGATTTCTAGTGTGAGCAACTAAGTAGAAAGAGATGATGATGAAGACAGGGAACTTAGAAACTTCTTTTGAGAAAAGATGAAGGGACTTGTTTTTGAACAAGCTGTATTTGAAATGCCTTCTGGTCATCCATGGGAATGTTCAGCAGGCAATTGGATTGAAGGGGCCAGAGACTCAACATGTGTGAGTTAGAGCTGAGGTTCTGAGAGTAGTTTGAAGTGATAGCTGAAGCTGTGGGCAGTGGGTGCTATGATCAAGGAAAAGCATAATGAGAAGTAGACTGATAACCTTAACTGGACAACACATCTGAAAATGAAGAGTCAAATGAATACAGATTTATAGAAGGCAAGAGAGGACTTTATAAGCTTCCAAAAGATATACACAATGCAGACATTAAAATAATTTATGATGATCAAATACTACAGGAAAATACTAATGTTATATTTAGAGGATATAAATAGAAGCATATATCATATGATCAAGTTTTTTCTAACGCATATGAAAAGACTGGAAGGAAGCATACCAAAGTGTTAACAAAGATTGCCACTGGGAGTAGAAATTTATATAGCATTTTACATGTATATGTACATATGCATTATATATTATAATATATATAGCATTTATATATTTATAGTATATATAGTATTGATATTTCATATATACATACATATACATATATGTGATTAATATCTGTATTTTAATTTTCTACCATAAACATGTATTGCTTTTGTAATTAAAGAAGAATATACATTTTTAAGTTTTGGAAATCAGTGATATTCATAAATGGTATTTTTAAAGATTATATAGTTCATCTAGTCCTACTTATTCTTAGATTTTATCCACAGATGAAGTTCATCATCTAAAAAACAATGTACTTGAGTCACATAATGCTTTAAGAAAAAGACATCACTGAATTTTGTTCACAGTTATGTCCTTGGTAAGGAAACCCTGACGAACAGCCTTACGCAGGCCATTACTCCATTAACTATACAATATTGTTAAGGACATGACCCACTTACATCCATCACTTGACAGTTCTCATATGGAACTCCACATAAGAAATTTATTTAAAGGTAATTATTCAGAAAATGTCTTGTTTCTCTCAAATATTTAGCATGTTTTAAGATTCACGTATTTTTCTCTTTAAAAGATACAAAAGTGTGATGTGTCCTTTCTACCCTTGGCTTCCAGGAAGCTTATAGCTAAAATCCTAGCTCAACTAGGTAGGCTCCTATGGCCCATGTAGTAGTGTCCTATCCTTCCACCCGATGCACCCCCCTCAAGACCTCCACTTTGGTTGCTGTTTTTCCCTGCTTTGAAATGCGAATATCTTATTTACATTTTTACCATTTTGTTAGTACATGTTTTTGTCATAAGCTGCCAGATAGTATTTGTGGAATAAGTAGGATAAAAAGAAAGTATTTCTATCCACATTAACTTTAAGCATCACAAAAAATGATGCATACCAATATATGGCTCAAAATGTGGTTAAAAAAGAGAAAATCCTAGCTAGAGTCATGCTTTTGAAATGCAGCTTTTTAAAAGTAGGCAGTGGTATGCCAGGGACTTCAAGAAACCACAGGAGAGCAGTGATGCACGCATTTTACTCTAAAGTAATTTAAAATACTGTTTTATTTTTAAATGCACACACATTAAAAAGTAAAATGAAAAGTGCTTGGATATTTTTAAAAAATAACTAGACTTTCAAGAAATTTCATTCTTGCCTGGGGCTGCTTCAAGATGTACTCTCAGACTTATCAGCTTTCCCTGGCCAGCCCAACCGTACGCCCACTCCCACCGTCAGTTCATTCTGCCCTTACATTAGGAGTATTTCTGTAGAAGAGTCTGAAATATAGAAAGCTAGATATTTTCATATAAAAATATTCAGTTATTATACAGAAGTGTTCATTTAAAATTATTAACAGTAGTTACCAACAGGATTATCAATAAACAACAAAGTAGCAAATCTGGAGTCCTGCCAGGCCAGGCATGTCTACCTCGGCTAGAGGGCCTTCAAAGTCCAAGTAGATTGGTTTTTGTTTTATTTTAATGTTTAGGTTTCTTGTACATCACCTATCTTATATAGTATTAAAATTCCTCTAGAACTCTTAGGGTAGTAAGAATTGCGTAAAAGCCACAAGTGTTTGAGATTTTTTTTTCCTGAATTCCTAATTTGATCATAAATTACCTGAGTTACCTTATAAAGGTATTTGCTAAAAATCCTTAACTATCTGTAGCGCCATCTTCACATAAACCATTCCTAACCTTTACACACATATATGTGCCAAACTTTAAGTAATATGCCACTTTATGGATATTACCACATTATTACTAAGGAGAAATACTTTTTATATTACCATATTACCATCCTACTCATTATCACCATTCATTATCATCATTGCAGGAGACCTTTCTCTTAAATTGGGAATTGTGAAGGCAAATTTACACCCCTAATCTCCTCAACTGTTCAAGGTAAATAATCTAACAGAATTTAAAAGTATGTAAGTAGAGGCCAGGTGCAAGTGGCTCACACCTGTAATCCTAGCACTCTGGGAGGCCAAGGCGGGAGGATCACTTGAGCTCAGGAATTTGAGACCAGCCTGAGCAACAGTGAGACCCCATCTTTACTGAAAAATAGGAAAATTAGCCAGGCGTGGTGGTGCACGGCTGTAGTTCTACCTACTTGGGAGGCTGAGGCAGGATTGCTTGAGCCCAGGAGTTTGAGGTTGCAGTGAGCTGATGCTACTGCACTCTACCTGGGGTGACAAAGAAAGACTGTCTAAAAAAAAAAAAAAAAAAAAAATATATATATATGGAGAGAGAGAGAGAGACAGACACAAGTATCAACTGACAGTAAGTTTCAAAATGACCATTTTAAAATGTTACCCTTAAATGATACAGTAAACAAAATTATTAAATTCTATACAAATCATCTGCCCTAAACTCAGAGTCATTATATACCTGGGCCCTACTATGTGCCAGGCACCATTATGCACTTAAGATTTCAGTGTGATTAAGGGCACACAGGCACTACTCTAAACCAGAGTTTACAATCTAGTGGGAATACACTTTTCCAGCACTTACCAGTTTAGTGAGTCATTCATTCAAGAAACAAAATATATCCGCTCTCTGGAGCTCATAATGCAAACAAGTTTCTATTAAAAACATACTTTCCTAAGAAAGGCAATAATTACAGACAACAGCTTATTCCATGGACATAAATCAGTTCTACCTTTTGGTCCTGATATGTGAATAAACTATTACAATACCAACTAAAACTCATTATAAATGGGTTCTTAAGAAATTGCAAAATGTGAAAGACATCTTTGCTATAGACTGTACATCATGACTGCAAACTCATCAGCAGTTACTTTTAGCATTATGTGTGGAGAATAATTCTTGTCCAGTACAATGGTATCACAGATGTGGCAGCTGGCAAATATATTGAGCAAGGATTAATAACACCGCAATTCCCTAGAGGGTAATTTATTCCAATAATAGAAATAAGTAAACAAATGCCTCTTGGGAACCTTTTTTCTTTTTAAAGGAAAACAGATGAATCAATGTTGTTTGGGGTTTCAGTAACATTTTATGTATAAAGTTTTTATTCTTAATGAAAACAAAGTCTGAAAACAGTCCACAAATTTGCTTCTAGGCACCACCCCTGTATGTACCAAAGGAAGTTAAGTAACACTAACATGTTATACAAAGGCTAACTATAAAATACACTGCACAACAGTTTACCTTCAAAGCTGCTTCAAAATACCTGTTATTAAACCTAAGTGCCAGTTTCCTTAGAGAATAAAAAAGATCTAAAACAAATCAGCTAAATACTTATACATATTCTATCTATAGAAACTTTGCCACATCCTCACTTCCATGTTTTAGCTTCTTTGCCAAATAACTGCAAGGAAATTTAAAAATATATTTATACAGAGCTTTAATACATAAGACACCAACAAGCAGTGTACATTAAAACACCAGCTTACTGTTTTTAGGCTTCTCTAGTTAACCAACTATCCTGAACAGGCTGCTTTTAAAGATGGCCCCTGCCCATTAAATCAACAGCAAACAGACTACAAGAAATGCACTGAATCTGGCAAGGCAGAAAAAATAATCTGCTGGTAAAACTTAGAAGTGTACATCTAGTGACAAGTAACAAATGACTTTCAAAATGGCAGTCTTTAAGTGTTGTCCTTAAACATTAAGCAGAATTACAGTACTCCATCCAACCAGAGAACTAGTATACCAGTCATCTTCACTACATTATACCTCATTAGTTCAACCGATATTAATATTTGCATCCCTACTATAAGTCAAAGGCTCTATAGGCACTGAGGCGTCACTGTGAACAAGCATACAAAGGACCTACCCTCAAGGTGTTTATAATCCAGTGAGATATTTTCAGGAAGTAGGAAAAGAACAAATAATGACTGAAACAAAGAAAGGTAAAGATTTTCCTGGAGTTTTAAAAAATCAAATGTGCACACACAGAGAAATCTGCATTTTTATTTGTCTAATATAGCAACTACATTTCTAACGATGTTTTCTATACATGGACAAATTCTTACTGAACTTGGTTTCTGGTACATCTGTTATAACAAAGACTAAAGAAATGAAAATGGAAAAAGCAAAACAGGATGCATATGGGTTTATTAAAGGTTACTTCTCCCTCTCTTTTTAAAGAGTAGGCATGGGCATATACACACATTTACCTGTTGGTGTGATATCAATATTCCTGGGAAGCCTTTGAGAGCACCCACACACGTAGAAGAAGTTTTAAAGGTTAAACAATAGCATATAGCAAATAATCACAGATGGTAAATATTTGCATTTGGAATTTAGCACAGTGTTCACAAGGGCGCAATAAGTCGAATAAGAACTCCCCTCTTTCTCTAGGTGTTTCTAAACCCTTCCCGGCGGCCCCTTCTCTGCCCACTGATCCCTTTAGGTACTAGCAAGTTTTTTTTTTCCTTCTTCTTTCTTTAGCAGAGGGAGTGACGTGGCAGGAGGCAGAAAATGACCCTGTAGGCGCCGTGGCTAGGGCTGAGCTTGGCACCTCCTCCCTCCCCTCCACGTCGTACACCCAGCATACCCCCACTCCCACAGGGTTCCAGAATTTCTATGTAAGAAGGGTTGGGGAGAGGCGATCTGATTGGAAGTATGAGCTAGGGGATCAGTCTTGAAGCTGCGTTGCACAGCAAGCACAGTTTTTATTTAGACTGGGGAGGCAGTGACGGCACCGATGGGTACTCCAGGGCTCCCAGTCACCCCTTGGCGCCACCAGCGCCCCTCTCCACTCCCACACTTTTCAGGTTTAGGTTAGAGTTGGGGGTAGAGCCTTTCTATCCAGGAATGCACTGGGAATGCCCACTGGGGGGCTAAGTCTTGTGTGCCTGAACCCAAGAGGGAGGTTTATCAACAGGTCAAGAGTTAGTGGAGCGAGGATGCCCAGCACACAAGCCCCTCTGCCGCACCCCTCTCCCAGGCTGCTGACGCCCGCCCACCCCCCACCTCCACCTCCACTGCCACCCACAGCCTGACACCCAAGATGCTAAGAATCAGGCGGAGGTCCCCAACCTCCAGCTGCGGAGAGGGAGTCAGCGACGTATAAAGAGGAGTAACCCCAAAAGCGAACCACCATCCGCCCCCAACTTCATCGTGCCCCTCCCTGCGCTCAGTACCCTCAAAAGGCCCCGCTTAGGGCAGCCAGGCCTGGGGAGGTGGGAGGTGAGGTGCGGAAGAGCTAACGGAAGACGGCGAGCGAGGAGGGCAGGAAGCTGGGACTGCGCCCCCTGCCCTCCCAGCCGACTTACTCACCGCCGGGGTCAGGGGCCGGCGCCTGGGGCTGGGGCCGGGCGGAGGGAGTGGGCAGCACCGAGGAGGGCTGAGGCAGCAGAGATAGCCGGCACACCCCGGGGCAGTTGCGGGCTCCGGAGGTGTCCCCTCAGGCTGTGGAGCCAGAAGACACGGTAAGTGGCGGCGGCCTCTGGCTGCGGACGTGGCGCCCGACGCGACCCACCCCCTCCACCGCCTCCTCAGCTCCCGCCTCCTCCCGCGGCTCCGGCTCCAACGCGCACGCGCGCTCATGCACCTCAGGCCCCTCCCGCACCCACCGAGCACACGCCCACCCGTTTGTCGAACTGCCCAGCCCTCCCAGCAGCCCCCAGCCGGCCACGTCCTGACGTGCGCACGCGCGACGTGCCGAAGCCTGCTCCCGCCCCTTCGCCCCCTGGGTGTCTCCGTGGGAACCCCCAGCCGGCCTGCGCGCGCGTCCTCCCGGGGTCTCCCCGCCCCCTTCTCTCCACCGTCCAATCAGATCGGGCGAAGGGCACGAAGCCCGGGACCGTGAGTTTAGCCTCCGCGGCTGCCCGAAGTCCTCGTTCAGCCGCCAAATAACGGTCGTCGGATTCAGAATCTTCGCCCTAGGGAAGGTGGGACGGTCGCCAGTTTCTCCAGCTCTTTCTTCACCAGGGGCCTCAGGCTTCCTGCCTGACCTCCCGCCCTCAGGGGAGTGACGAGCTGGGCCTTCTCTCAGCTGGTCACGTCGGGGCTCTGCACGCCTTTGTGACCAAGTGATAGGGGTGAGGAGAGACGGTGCTTATGTTTGTGTTTTTCGGGCTTTTTTTTTTTTTTTAACTCTTCCTTGCCCTAGAACTGAGCTCCTTGGGAGTAAAAACTTGTCTGGGTCGTCGTCACCCAACGCTTGGTGCAGTGCGGGGGGCTTGCCCAGCTCTCGAAATTTGTTGAAGAGAGTGGGTATGCTTAGTAGCAAAAAGAAAAGTGAATTGGAAATTTAAAAACCTGGCGTGGCGCCGCTTCCTGACTAGGTCCCTCTTGAAGTCGTCCCCGCCTTGGCAAAGGCTCTCCCTGCGGGTCAGGACGGTGTGGAGAAGGGTGTAGCAGTGAGAGGATGTAGTTTCTGGACCCAACTTGTCCAGCTCCGCCTGAGGGACAATGGCCACCTCAGAAGGTGGTTTTGAGGACTGAAGGAGATGCGTTGCACAAAAGCAGCTTAACTAGATAAACGGTATCTATTAACTTTTCTTTGACTTTCTTCCCACACCTGTGAAATGAAGATGGCAATAAATTCATCCTAGGTTTTTTGTGAGAATCAAAAGAGATGGTGGGTATGAAAGGGCTTTATAAACGGCGAAGTCCTGTACATGAAGCAGAAAATACACGTAAAGTCAAAACACACACATGAAGAAGAAAACCCACAAAATGTTTTTCAAATGCTAGATCATCAGGGTGGCGGAACTGAATAATGACTGTTGACAGGGCTCAGAAAAGGACATGCCAACCAAAGAAAGCTTCCTGGAAGAAGCTAATTTTGATCCAGGTCTTAAATGGCGTGGACTAAATATAGTTTATGGTTTCAGCCTAATCATTAATTTATCAAATCAGTGAGTTAAGTCCGCCTAGACCACTGTGCTGAGACTATCAAGATATTTTAGTTTTCCAGAGTGTAAAAAGGAAATTAAAGTAATCTTGTCACCTCAACATGTGGAGTGGATGACTAGCAGGGTGTTTGGATTGTTCCCTTTACCCAGTACGTGAAGGGATGGATACCTCCTCTATTTTCTTGTTATCACAGAAACCTGTGTTCTTAATATGTGACCTTTCAAGGTTGAACTCTGGGTAGAATTATGAAGCGCACAATTACGTTTTGTTTCTTCTTCCCTTTGCACTTCTTTCTGCAAGAGAATTTAATTATTGTAGCCACTCCCAGGAGATTTTGCATTTTTACAGTTATTAAAGCCATAATTCAAAGCAGTGATCGAATCTATCTTATAAACCAACCAAGATATAAAAGAACTCTCTGGGGAGGTTGTGGGAGACCTTCTGAAACTACAAGTATAAGTAGTTATGCATTTCTTGTAAGTCTGACCCTGGTCGTGTTCTATTGTCTCAATTTTTTTACCTATAAAGATGAATAACACCACTCAGTGCTCACCTACTCCTAGGTCTAAAATCAGAACAAATACGATGATCTTGATGGAATGGCTTCTATAGAATGATACTATCTTGATTTGGGGTACCTTGGTGCAACAGAGGGAGCCACAAGGAAGGCAAGCCTTAGTCTTCGTTTTATAGGCTGAATATGGGCTCAATTCTTTTTTTTTTTTTTTTTTTGAGACAGAGTCTCACTCTGTTGCCCTGGCTAGAGTGAGTGCCGTGGCTTTAGCCTAGCTCACAGCAACCTCAAACTCCTGGGCTCAAGTGATCCTACTGCCTCAGCCTCCCGAGTAGCTGGGATTACAGGCATGCGCCACCATGCCCGGCTAATTTTTTTTTTTCTATGTATTTTAGTTGTCCAACTAATTTCTTTCTATTTTTAGTAGAGACAGGGTCTCGCTCTTGCTCAGGCTGGTCTCAAACCCCTGAGCTCAAACAATCCGCCCGCCTTGGCCTCCCAGAGTGCTAGGATTACAGGCGTGAGCCACCACGCCCGGCCCTTGGGCTCAATTCTTGATTCCCATTCTGTGAACTCCCTTTCTTAGATTATTAAAACAAAACATTTATTTCTGGATGTTATTTAAAGATTTTGTAATGTCTTAAAATAATGAGTTCTTCGTGTCTTCAGGCAATAACTTTTAACAGAATAAATTCTTAATACACATGTGTCAATTATCCAGCCTCTTAAATGCCTGAGTTTTCCTCCAGTTGGTTACACACAGAGAATCTTTTGCCTTATTGAAAAACTGGAGAAATTAAATGCTACATTGCTTAATGTGTTCCAAAAGTTAGGGCCAGAAAGAAGCCAGATACCAGAAATGTGAAAGCAAGAAGTAAATTACTTACAGACTGATAGTATATTGAAAGTTAAAGAGATCCAGGCCAACCTTCTACCCAACACATGAATCTACCTCCTGTCATATGCACAATAATAGTTTTCATTGTTGAGTTGTCAAATACTCTTCCCAGTATTTCTATGTAGACTCATTTAAGTGACAAATCACTGGTAGGTCCACATTTTTCCTGTGTTTTACCATGTCTTCGTGAATGTAATGCATTATCCTGCCATTTTGAGATGAACTGAACAATTAACAGCTTTATGTAGATCACCACTCAGTGTAAATAATTACGCTTTTCTATACTGCCTCTCTTACTGCTCTTTGCCTTTCCTGGCACTATTACATGGGCTATTCTTGGTTTTCCTTTCCCTGCCCCAATAGCCTTCTTAATTTTTCCTGTGATATAATTATTATAATTAAGATTTATTTGACATAAGCTCTCAGCCTCTATCTCATTTCTTTCAAATAATCCAGTGAGATAAGTACGTTATATTCCCTATATTCATAAAACTGAGGTAAAGAGAAGTTATATAAGGTCCCACACCTAGTAAAGAACAGACTGTAGAATCAAACTCAATTTTGTCTGACTCTAGACCCCAAGTTCTTAACCACTATATTCTGAGAAAGAGAAGAGCAGTCCTTGACATCCAGCATCCAGTAGATGCTGGCACAGCTAGGCCTTGGTGTTCTCCTGTTGAACAAAAACAATTTTTGAGAATATCAACATTAGACAAGGCCACTCCATGATCACGATGATCAGGACGAAAATAAGACTACTCTCTAGTCATGTCTGAACATAGACAAAAACATGAATGCTGTCCAAGCTACCAAATGAAATACACAAAATGAAAATGCCTAACTAATAAAAGTGTCTGTTGCCTCTTTACCGGTTACAGCTTTAGCCTCATTCTAGTCTTCCTTCTTTCTAGATAAGATTTATTGAGGTATCGAATTATAGAATTGCCCTTACTTCCTGACAATACCCTATTTAGGGTATAGATCAAAATTGTACTTCCTTAAAACCTCCACCAAATCACCTAATGCAAACCCAAATATTAAGTCCTTTCTAACACTCTTTTACTGAGATATCCCATGGCTCCCCATGTGGTGGTTTCCCTTGCTGCAATGAGTAGTAAGCTTGTAAGTAAACAAGTAAATAAACTTGTTCAACCACAGGTATATTCCTGGTGATTTTGGCTAGAGAGCATTGATAATTCTTTCTGGGCTGTTCTATATCGTGCATTTCTACTGAGTGGAAAGCATACTTCTTAGGCATTTCTTGCCAGTCAAATGAACTAGAAACTATCCTTCCATCTCCAGCCATAGGATTGTCACAACAAAGCTAGAACAGTCGCATCCTTTTTTGTGGATTCTATATAGAGTGTCTACTAAATGGAGCTTTATTAAAAGATAGTGAAAAGAAACATAATCTTGGAATAATTGGACATCAGTTTGCAAAACAAAAATGTCAACTCATGCCTCATTCCATATTCAGAATAATTCAGAATGGATATCTAAATGTAAAATTATAAAACTTTTAGAAGAAAACACAAGAGAAAATCTTTGTGATCTTGGGTTAGGCAAAGATTCCCAAGATACAAAATACATTATTCATAAAAGAAAAACTATAAATTTATAAAACTCTCGCTGTTTGGATGACATGAAATGAAAGGACAAGCAACAGATTGAGAGAAAATATTTGCAAAATACATGTCTATTAAGTGACTGTATTCAGAATATGTAAAGAATTCTTGCAACTCATAAGACAACCCAATTTTAAAATGTGTACATAATTGAATGATCACTTCACCAAAGAAGATACAGAGATTGCAAATAAGCAAATGAAAAGATGCTCAACAT